TCCTGTCCTCACTCAACATCTTTTCAGCTACATTTGGGTGACTGTCAACCCCCGCACCCTGTCCTGACCCAGACTTCAATCTGCCACAGGGCTTGCAGACAGAGGCAGCAACAGCAGCAGCAGCATGCTAAAGGAAATTAAAAACACATCTACCACTCCCTTGTTCCTCCCTCTCCTCTAACTCCTTTCTAAAAATTTATGGTTGCCACCCTTGAATACTGGATTGTGAAAACGAACTAGATGTGATTCGTAACCTAAAGAAAACAGAAACAATTCTCCGTTAAAATTAAGAAGAACCATTATTTTGCTAAACTTATATATATAGCTGTATATATAGCTTGAGTCATGTCTCTTACTCTAGACTGTTTTCACTGTCTGTGGTCAGGCTGGTGAAAAATTGCTAGGATCGGGCACAAAAAGGCGTTCAGAGAAGATGGGGGTAGCAGCAGACTTGGAAATGTTTAACAGGAAAATACATGGAAAATACAAGGAGGAGGAATGTGCAGGGGAACCCCACAAATATGATCCTCTATGTTTTCACACACATTCGGGTACATTTTCAAAGGTTGACTGCAAATTCTCAGACTCTGAAACCTCCAGCCATTATATTAACCTTTTTTTGTTTTGTTTTGTTTTTCTTCTTACAAATTGTTCTGCATTGACTCTGCTGTGAATAGACCAACAGAACTGATAAGGACAAAACCAGCCTTGATATGAGAAGGAGCTGGTGTTACGATTTTTTAACTCAACTGATTTCTTGAAAGTTTTGAATCACTAAGAGGTTTGTCTCCCCAATGTGTGGTTGACAAAGTGGCTGTGGTATTATTTAAATTGATTAAGATTAAGTTCTGTTGGCAGACTTCAAATCTTTTCACCAATGTAGCTATTTTTCTATGCATAATCATCAAACAAATCCAAGATATGTGTTGTAGCAGGGATCGGGCTGGGACTTGTAGAAGCTATACAGTCCTTCCACATCTATACATTTAAGGGGATAAATTAAAATCAAGGTAGAGGGTACGATTATACGCAGATGACGTTCTCTTGTTTTGTCATTAATCATATTCTACATATACTTTCCTAGTGCACATTAACATGTTTTATTTATTTTAAATCAAAGCACACTTTTACTCACATCAGCAAAAAATGCCATCTGGATTTTTATCAGTTCTTCTGATTGCACCGATCAAGGCACTTGATGATGCATCATCTAGCATGATGCACTATTCCCCATATCACTTATAGCCTTTCCACTTAGCTCGGCTTGGCTCAGTTTTTAGGGTTTTCCAATAGATGGTAGTGCCTGGTACCAGGTACTTTTTTAGTATCTGCTCAACCAGGGTTCCAAGTGTGGATCTGAAAATGTAACGTAAACAGACTGCATGCCACTGACTGGCTAGTCAATGGCATCACTCGATGAATCATGAGAGTGACTCCACGAAAATTAAGACCTTGTTGCCGATTTTGAGAATCGGCAACAAGGGAACGTTCCCCGAGTCTGACAAAAAAAAAAACTTTACACCAAGCAGCAAATATGCCATCATCTTGAAGTCCTCCATCGTTATGTTGTCTTTTCATTCTTTAAGTGATTTTCTCATAAAAGGTGATCAGTTTTATTTTCTCACAAATGTCATCTCCTGATATTTACTAACCAAAGACCCTAAAAATTAAAATTTCATTCATTACTCTTTGTACAGCTGCAGTGATAATGTTTGCTTGTCACAAAATCCCAGAGTCACACCTGGCCTTGCATTAAGGCACACCATATGGGGACCACCCCTCTTGTATGTGACCCACCTGGTGAGACTGCTAGTTAATTTTAGACCAAAGTGTTACTTTCAAGTGTTTTGGTACACTCGTGCTGTACTCACAGTGAGTGAGCCAGACATACACTTGTCTGCTGAGGAGCTGTAGAGGCTCTGTAGCTCTGCTGATAAAACAGTTGGAACAGTCCTCCATCTATCCGAAACTATAATTACACATTAAGGCCGCGTGGATCTGTTATTGGTGTCTTTTTTTGTTTTTGTTTAGATCTTTAATAAAGCCTTCATGATTTCATTTCCCTCTTTTAGAAAGTTACTGGTTATTCTACAATCTCAGAAGACTGATGGTGCTCTCACTGCTGCGTTTGTTATACGAAGAGCAGTTTTTTTCTTTTTGAAATTTTTGGGTGAGCATACTTGCATGTCTATAACTCTTAGGCGCACTTTCTTGTAAACATGTTCGAACAGTCCAAACACACCTGGCAAAACAGGAAATACTACTCCATCCATACAGCATACACAACAGAGCAAGGGTGAGCGTTAGCAAACTGGGCAGTCGAGTTTCACTATGAAATGAGTCACTGTGCAACTCCACGAACACGGAGTAACACTTAGTTTTGGCATTTATAGAGGCAGCATGCTGGCCTAAATATGACCGCCTAAATGAATACAAAACAGAAACTGGGAGGCTGTTCGTGTAATTCTCAGGTGATTTTTCAAGGTGGTGATAACAATACTTCTGTTTTTGAAATAAGATGCCAAATTTATAGATGAAAAACAAAAATACTGGTAACAAATCAGATTTTAACTCAAGCTGCGTAGAGTGAGAAATTGTAAACAACAACCGTGGTGCACTCCTTTCAAAGTCTCTGAGTAAGACCTGGCTAATGAGATAAGCTGGTCACAGGGTCACATGTTACTCAATCCACAGATTCTCCTGCATCTAAAAGATGGAAAGGTTTTGGCTTTCATCCAAAGAAAAACCACCAGGATTTTGACTTATAAGAAGTTCTTTGAAAGTGGAGTTTTTAATTTTGGGGGGGGGGGGAGCCACAAAATCCACATATTTCTGTTTAATCAAGAAGCCAGATTCTATGTTTTAACTGTATAGAGACATAATAATGCATACCTTTAAAAGGCCCATCGTGAGCCAGGAATAACCTGGAATCACATTCACACACTTTTACTCTCAGTCCACACCTTTCCTTCTCTATCTTTTCCTCATGTTTTTCTTGTCAGCTTTCTTATCTGCCGCGACACATTTTACAAGTCTTCAAACCTCTGTTATACTATTCTTTTTAAAAATCTTTCTCGTTGCCAGATGGACGAAGCAGTGGGCGGAGAAGAGGAGTGATGACAAACACCACAGCACAGTGTCCGGTCCTCGATGAGTGGCCTGAGTCCCAGTTGTTTGTCTGACAATGTGTCACAGCAGCAATTCACAATGCAAATGCATCTGACGAAGCTCCTGCTGGAGCCACAAACCAACCACTTAGTTCTGTGGTTTTGGTCCAATGTGTTTGATACACAGACCTGGAGAACAGGTGTTGCACACTCACTGGCAGCTGGAGGAGCTTTAACATGGGAGAGAAAGTTTGTACTTATGCCTAGCCCTTCTTCCACTAAGACTTCATTAGACTGTTTTAGTTTGTTCTCCTGCCAGTGACTACACACTTACAGAGTCAAATATTAACTGAGGGCTGGCAGCTGTGTTCCACCACATCACCTTGAACTCAAATTGCTATAATACACATACCAAAACCATACAGCCCTTTTCAGTGCGTTACTGAATAAATGACAGAAAAAAAAGGGAACAATGATTTGTTCCCAGTGAAACTCTCAGTTCCACATTTCTACTTGTAATGTAGGAGGACCGTCAAAGGAGTGATTCACAGAGTGACTGGTTCAAACATGATCATGGTTTCTAATAAGCTACAAACAGCTTGTCTTCAAATTCATACAAAAATCAAATGTGGGATATTTCGCAACTCTCAGACGTGTGGTTTACCAACCATACTCAGCCCAAACTGATGATACAAGCCAACTCTCAGCGCACTGGAGAAGAAAAACATACCCTCAGAGAATTATTTCACCACTCTGGAAAATACTACAGTTGGTTCTCATTGGGAGCTGGACTTGACTCGTAGCTCTACAATTAATATAGTTATATTTAGGAGATAACAAGGATTGGAAATACTGGAAATTCTGTTTAAATGTGATAAAAAAAATCCACCTACCAGCATTTAATGCTCATCTCGTTATGTCTGTGTGTGTAAAGTGAAAAAGAACCTGACTAGTTCCTGGAATCAAGCCATTTGTTGTTCATGGTGTAGGTCTGTGGTAAACACCATTAAAATGATCATTAAGAGGTTAGCAGCAGTGGATGGTTTTTCTCACAGGTATTTCCTGGAGTGACAATTAATCTATCAAAGACAACAGAGTAACACTGGACAATCCTCTCTGTTTTATTTTGAAACTTTAGTCACTGCAGACAGCTAGCTCCTAGAGTTTTCTATGGGTAGGTCTATCTTGATACTGTCATTCAGCTGTCTTAAGTCTCCAGTGCCCATGGTTGGACAGACTAACTGCTTCAGTTGGACAGACCTCAACTGCTTGAGGACCATTATAACCAGAACCTGAAGCAGGTGGAGAACTCCTGTCACTACACTCATGGAGACTACCGCTGTCAGCTATAGTCCGTGACTGTGGAACTCTGCGCACGGGGAGAGAGACTTTTTGGAGAGGCTGCTGTTTATTATTCTGTACTGAACTGTAATGCCTTCCAATAATTACACAAGAACAACACTGCTCATGTGCAAACACCTCATGGTTACTGCTGTTCGATTATCTCTGCTATTCACTACGCAGACAAAACCCTGACACAACTCACTGAGCAATACTAAGATGTTAAGTACTAAGAGGTCAACTACAATGAAATGCTGTGAGTGAGATGGATGTCAGACAGCAAAATGTAATGATATCTAAGGAAAAACAAAGACTTATATCACAGAAAAAATAGAGTTCACGTTTTAATCGGTGATTCCCTGGTTCTGGTAGCAGTTATTCGTTTCCACACTGATGACTCTCAGGGAGCCAATATAATATACCAACAGGGATCGTTAACTCGTCAGGAAGCAGGTACCAGTTGAGTGAAGCACAGACAACCGGCGCCAGCATTACTTGGAGCCCAGATGGTTAAAAGCTTGTCTGCACCGTCCCTCCCTCCACTACACTGACCTGCACTGTGCCATCTGTTTAACCAACCATACTGTGCCAGGCCTGGCCAGGCCGTGCCTTATAGCCTCAGCCTCAGCTTCCTTAAGGATGGAGATGGCTTTGATTCATTCTGCAGTCCTCTCTCCAACTGTCTTCCTTGATCAAAGCAGCCTATGTCTACGAACTCTGCAAAACCAGAGATGATCCTTTTTAAGAATCTAGCACTGGATGGTATGACCATTTTAAAAAGAATCTGGCAGTTTCACTATACTTCACTATACTATATAAATGCAATAGGAACATGTAATTTATAAGGGAGTACCAAAGGCTCTATGGTCTGTATGGTACAAGATGGGGCTGTTGTTGTTTTTATACATATCATTTCTGTTATTTGCAAACGTTGTTAACTGCTACTAAAGAAAATTCTGAGCAATGCTTAAAACTACATTTACAGAGTCACTGAAAGAGAAAAAGACATGACTTTAAACATTTTGCCACAGTTGAGACACTTTAACCCTCGTATTGTATATCAACAATTACTAGGGCCTTTTGACTGTGAACATAGATATAAATGTGAAAATGCCTGAAAGGACAAGCCAGCGATTTTACCTCAAAGTAGAGCTGGGCGATATGAGATTTTTCCATATCACGATATGTTTTTTTCATTTCAGGCGATAACGATATCCATCACGATATAAGCCAAATAACTATTTGTAAGATTTAAATGTGCCGTTGCTCACAAGTAAAATGTGAAATAATCAGCAGCTTGTTTTGATTTAAATATTTATTTCCCATAAT